GTTTTGTTCACCATAACTGTACATCTAAGCTTGTATGGTGAGTAAAGGCACAGAGATGTGGCTACTCACACAGTCAGCTGGTGGCTGCCGCCCTCAAGGCCAGACACACTAATATTTCTCCTCCAACAATACTGTGTGGTGTTATTACGCTATATACACACATTATATATAAATATCTACCTGTTTTATTCACCATACTTGTACAAATAAACTGGTATGGTGCCTAAAGACCATCGTGGTAACCAGTAAACAACACCGTCGCCTGCACGGTGGCATCGTGCAGACGACACCACCGCCCTCACCAAAATGGCGGCTCCAAACCTTCTCTTGCTGTTTATACCCTCTATACACACGTTATATATAAGTATCTACATTTGTGTTCACCATAGCGAACCACTAAGCTGGTATGCTGAGTGCAGTCAATAAAAGGTGGCCACACACAGTCAGAAAACAACGCCACAATCCTCCCTCCCACAGCCTTACTCCTCCCTCCATGGAGCACAGCGCTAAATATCACTACAATCCTGCTATTATCAGAATCCTGGTCAGTTTTATCACAGTCAGGGGGCTTCAGTAATACTATCACTGCTAAATAATAGCAGTATCATTTATATTATGGTATTTGTAGGTGATGCTGTGGTCACAAGCTGAACAGCAGTGCTGTGAGCTCGTGCTGCGTGCGCCAGCCTTGGTGGCTTCCTCAATACTGATGCTGTAACACCCAAGAATGTTGGCCTGGATTTTTTTTCTAGGTGGCATCTGGCAACTATCGGTCGTGGCTGTACTATAGCTGCCCCTATCCCAGGCGGGGCGTTTAAATTATAGCGCTAGACACAAAATCATATATAAATGATGTGCGCGGTTTCGGTTTTGTCACTGATATCATTTATATATGATATGCGCGGTTTGAGGGTTAAATTCCATTTGCCAAGTGGTGCTCCATATACTTACTTTGTCCAGATCATCTTGAAGGGCATGACAATCATCTAAGTTTCTTATCCTTCCTATTATCTTAGCATCATCAGCAAACATGTTCATATAATTCTGTATACCAACTGGTAGATCATTTATGTAGACAATAAACGTCACTGGTGCAAGAACTGAACCCTGTGGTACTCCACTTGTGACATTTCTCCAGTCCGATACATTGCCTCTGATCTCTGCCCTCATTTTTCTATCAGTCAGAAAATTTTTCATCCATGTTAGAAGCTTACGTGTCACCCCTCCAATATTTTCCAGTTTCCAGAACAACCTCTTATGTGGAACTCTGTTGAAAGCCTTTCTTAGGTCCAGATAAATGCAGTCAACCCAACCATCTCTTTCCTGTAATATCTCTGTTGCTTAATCATAGAAACTGAGTAAATTCGATACACAGGATCTTCCAGATTGAAAACCATACTTACTTTCTGTCTGATATTGTAACGTACGTTTATGTTACGTTGTTGGGTTGATTAGATACACAGTGTTTAGTGAGTTTCATATTTATTTAGTAGTCCTGGATACAGCAGTGTCGTAGACGTTGAGACGAAGCCTGGAGCAGAGCGGAGAGCTGAGTGAGGTCGGAGTCGTGGAGCTCTATGTGGGAGAGCGTGGTGGCTCAATTGGGAATTGCGAGTGTCTGAACTCAGGGAGCGAGAGCGTTGTAGCTGGATGCAGTCGTAGTCTGCTGTCTGCTCTGTGTCGAAGCTGTAGCGTCTTGGGTCGATTAGAACTGCCCACTCCAAGTACTACATTTTTGACTGGAGATTGTACTGTTCGATATTCATCAAATCGCTTGCATATATGGTGATACACCTCAGCTTCCTTCAAGAAGGTGAGAAGAGTATTACCTGTAATTGGGGAAAGGATTGTAGCTTCTGTAATTAGTTATGCTATTAAGATAATGAGAAAATGGAGCGAGTATAAGGATTACTCACTACAGGACTCCCCCTGCCAGGGAATGGAAGAAAATCAATATAACAAAAAATACGAGGCTACTGTTCCCTGGGTCGCTGTGGAACATGTAGTCTGGTACCAAAAGATGCAGGCTGTGTGTGGACAAGCTTGGTGTAGCAGGAGAGAAGAATGTGCATGATTGTTGCGTCCTTTGGTCACTGGTGGAGCATTTAGATCCGGGGCGGATGGGCTCGGGCACCAGGACAATAGGAGGTAATGTAGGCACGTAGGTAGGACAACGAGGGAATCACTGCTAGAGTTGAATTGTCCTGGAGGCGACGAAGAGTCGGAAGCACAAGCTGTAAGTTCTGTACTGCGCAAGGCCTACTCTTGAGTCGGCAGAGTATCAGAATGCGGTGAACGTGTAGATGAATCTGACAAAAGAGCAGCTTTCGTGGGCGCTCCTTGTAGGACAAGCAGTGCCCTGGCAGCGACGGAGAGTCGGCAGGACAGGCTGTAGATCCCACATTATGAAGTTACTGATGAAGCTGCCAGATGAGTGAGTAGCGATCGTGGAGCAGCAAGCCGTAGTAGATGAAAAGGCAGAGACGATCGCGGTGAAAATCATAGCTGTGGCGAGGGTGTTGGCAATGTTCCATGACAGGTGGCTGCGATCCACAGCAAACAGCAGTAGTAGAGGTCCAGTGAGAGTCCATGTTGTAGTCAGTCGTGGCTGGGTATCGTCGAAACTCTCTGGGGTCACCAATGTAACGTACGTTTATGTTACGTTGTTGGGTTGATTAGATACACAGTGTTTAGTGAGTTTCATATTTAGTAGTCCTAGATACAGCAGTGTCGTAGACGTTGAAACGAAGCCTGGAGCAGAGCAGAGAGCTGAGTGAGGCTGGAGTCGTGGAGCTCTATGCGGGAGAGCGTGGCGGCTCGTTTGGGAATTGCGAGTGTCTGAACTCGGGGAGCGAGAGCATTGTAGCTGGATGTGGTCGTAGTCTGCTGTCTGCTCTGTGTCAAAGCTGTAGCGTCTTGGGTCGATTAGAACTGCCCACGCCAAGTACTACATTCTTGACTGAAGATTGTACTGTTCGATATTCATCAAATCGCTTGCATATATGGTGATTACACCTCAGCTCCCTTCAACAAGGTGAGAAGAGTATTACCTGTAATTGGGGAAAGGATTGTAGCTTCAGTAATTAGTTATGCTATTAAGATAATGAGATAATGGAGCGAGTATAAGGATTACTTGCTACAATATTATATCATTTCTCTCCAGGTGTTCTACCCATTTAGTTTTAATTATTTTTTTCCAATATTTTGACTATTACACTTGTCAATGATACAGGTCTATAATTAAGGGGGTCTTCCCTGCTTCCACTTTTGTAGATTGGAACTATGTTAGTCTTTTTCTACACATCAGCTACAACTCCTGTAAACAGGGATGCCTGAAAAATCAGTTGAAGTGGAATGCTGAGCTCAGGTGCACATTCTCTCAGAACCCATGGTGAAACTCCATCTCGACCAACTGCTTTGTTCTTATTTAGCTCCTTGAGCATTTTTTCCACTTCGTCTCTAGACACCTCTATGTGCTCTACGTTGTTCTCTGGAATTCTTATTGTATCTGGTTCCCTGAAGATTTAATTTTGGACAAACACACTTTGGAACTTTTCGTTTAATGTTTCACATATTTTCTTTTAATTTTCCGTGAATCTATTTCCCATTTTCAACCTCTGAATATTACAACCCGTTCTCGCAAATTTAATAAGTCAATATTGACTTATTAAATATGTGCATAGGTGACATACTTAACATAATAGTTTCCCTTGAAAAGCTTCATAGAAAACACCGACCTTACCTAACCTATTTAGTATGTTAAGATAAGCATCTTATTGCTTCGTAATTACAATTATTACCTAACCTATAATAGGTATAGGTTAAGTAATAATTGTAATTACGAAGCAATAAGATGCTTATCTTAAGATACTAACAAGGTTAGGTAAGGTCGGTGTTTTCTATGAATCTTTTTAAGGGTATCTATTATGTTTAGTATATCACCTATGCACGTAGTTAATAAGTCAATATTGACTTTACGAATTTGCGAGAACGGGTTGAATATTATCCTTTACCTGCAATTTGTTGTTTATGAATTTATAAAATAGACCTGGTTCTGTTTTACATTTGTCTGCAATCCCTTTTTCAAAATTTCTTTCTGCCTCTCTCCTTCCTGCCGTGTAGTTGTTTCTCGCATCTTTGTATCGCTGGTATGTTTGGGGGTTTGGCCTCTTACTGTATTGATTCCATTTTTGTGTCTTTTGGTCTCTGGCCCTCTTGCAATTTCTGTTGAACCAATCCTGTTTCCTAGTTCTGCATCTCTGTTTTGGTATAAATTTTTTTGTGCCTTTATCATATATTTCACAAAGCTTGACATACATCTCATTCACTTCCTTGCCTAGCAACAAGTCTGTCCAATTATACTCACTAAAAATTTTTCCAAGGTTGCCATAATGTCCTCTCCTAAAGTCAGGTTTTTCAATTGCATCAACCTTCTTATTTTCTTCCAGATTATAATGCATTGCATACTTCATTCCCAAAAAGACATGGTCATGTTTACCCAAGGGAGGAAGGTACTGAATGTCAAATATTTCTTCCTCCTTCCTGGTAAATATCAATTCTAGCATGGAGGGAACGTCCCCTTCCCTCATCCTCGTAGCTTGTTTAACATGTTGATACAAGAATGTTTCCAGGATGAGGTCTACAAATTTACAGGTCCAAAAATTTTCTGTTTTAGCTTCATATGCTTCCCAGTCTATGGATTTCAAGTTGAAGTCGCCGACTATCAACAGTCATGACCTATCGTTATCCGCTCTCGCTATGATCTCTCTCATTATTGTTATAAGACCTTCTCGTTTACTATCTAGCTCCTCCTTTGACCATGTGCTGCCTGGCGTGTGTGTGTGTGTGTTTATAATAATAATAATAATAATAATAATAATAATAATAATAATAATAATTGATTACAAGACTTCTTCCTATTTCAATTGAAATAATGCACCCTTTTCACATTTGTAATCCATTTAATGATTATATTTTTAAACGTGTAGTTTTTCTTGCAGATGAAACAAGCTCAGTGTGCAACTCATGTCCTTTTGGAAGAAGAAATTGCAGAGTTATAAATGGATGAAATACCATGGGCTTCTTTCCGAAATGTTCTGACAAATCATAATATTAACAACCATCGCATTTAATGGATTCAAATTTGCATACAGTATTTTTCAATAACAAAAAATGCTTTCTTTGGTTAGGTATTTATCCAGAAGACAGATGCACACATTTTACACATTCTGCATTACTACTATATACTATATATTTTTGTTGGCTTGTAGATCATTGTTACTACTGGTAGAGTATTTTTTTAATGTTTTGTGTAAACTTACTGTATTATTGATGCAATTATTATATTTGTTATCTAATTTGAATTTCTAATATAAGTGTAATTATACGCCCTGGGTGGGCGGCTCCTTAGCCCAGTGAGGGAGCACTTGTACGCCACCTGTGGCTAGGAGGGGGGTAGCTCCCGCTCCCCTCTTCTGCCTGCTGTGATGGTGCACAAGCTAAAGACATTCCCATATGTTGGCCACGTATAGTGACATGGGGCATGCTCTTATGTCTCTTCATCTAGGATTTGAGCCAACCCACAAATTGTGAGCCCCTGTGGAGAAGATGGAGGGGGGGGGGGGGAAGGCAACATGCTCCTTTAGTAAGGGGACGGGTAAAACTGAAAGGTTATTGCGGTCCACCTGAACCAATCAGTTGGTCTAGTTAGCCTCGCCCAGTTATTCATCTGATCAAGTGGGCATTGTAAAGTTGGTGTCCCTAATGGTCCTTGGGATGCCATTCAGCCTGCAATAGTGACCCATATATGCTGTTCTGGTTACCCCTGGGATTGCTTGCCCTTGTCCCTCCCATGCGAATTCCAGTGTGGGTGGAGGTGTGGGACAGCCAAGCCTTTATATGTTACGTTTTATGTTAACTTCTGATCTTGTTTCGCTTCAGACCTGTTGGAAGGGCAACCAGGCCTCTGAGTCAGACTGTGCTGGAAGGATGGGCTCCAGAGCCCTGGCTACTTTGGGCCCAGACCTGGTTTTTTCTCTATCCCTACTGACACACTCTGTTCCCCTGCTACTTCTTTGGCTGGGTGAGCTCCAAGCCCCCTATGGTGACACTCTTGTCCCCTGGTGTGGCTCCATTTTCCTTAGTGACCACTGTGTCATTTATCCACCTCCTTCGTTGTGGTTCCCGGCACCGTCGCAATACTAGAGCACAATTGCCTCCTGCTTCCACTGTTTTGTTTCAAGATTTGTTCAGCCACGCTACATGGCACAAGTATTTTTACCTTTGCCACACTGAACATACCTGCCCTGATGATGTGCACATCCATAAGAACTTAGTTGACTCTGGATTCTCAGGTTACATTTAACCTTTCTCAGACTGGTGCACATGTTATGGCCCCTTCTTAGGAGGGGCCTGGGCACCTGGGGCCCCTTAGGCCTGCCTTACTGCTTTGTTCTATATAGGTGAGACCTCTGTTCAGATGCCCCAAAATACCCAGTTGAATGCCAACATTGGCAATGTTGTTCTCTTGCACCATGTTGCAACTGGAGATAGAGACCTCAAAGACTACCATGAGCATATTAAGTATATGGTGGGACCCTTCCATCTTCCGTCATCCTTGTCAGTGCCTGATGCTCCATTCAGAAGTACATCCTCTCTTTACACCTCTGCAGTAGGTGTTGAAAATTTGGTCATAGTTATTCCAGGTGCAGCAGTGAGTTGTCCCTTTGCCCCTTGTGTGGTGACTGGACATTCTCATACTGATTGCTGTTTTTCCTAAACTTTCTGCATCAACTGTGGTGAAGCCCACCCTGCCTTTTCTCGTATGTGCATCCATTATAAGTTCAAACAGGCCATCCTCGCCTTTAAACATCATGCTTGTATTTGTTTCCTCGAGGCTCGGTGCCAGGTTTGCCATCTTGACTCTTTCTGCCATTACTTATGCTCTAGTGTTGTTGCACTACTCTTCCCCACCCTTCTTCCCTTCATTGCTCCTCAAACCATTTTCAACCCTTGCTCCACCAGCTCTCCCCTTCCACTACTCTCCAATCTATGGCCACACGTGTTCCTCTTGAATCTCCAGCCTCTTTTTCCACTCTGCCCTTCCTGCTCATCTCCTACCCACATTTGGTGCCACTTCTCCACTTCCTCCTCCTATTGTTTTCTCTGTGACCTCCTCCAATTTCCAACACCATCTTTCTTCTATCTAAGTCTTCCCCTCTGTCCTTTGGCCCTTCCCCATTCCTGTCTGTCCTGGCCGATGTCCATCCTCCTCCTCCTCTTCTTCATGTTGTCCTCCCTCTGCAGCCGAGACTGTGAAGGTCTTTGTGTAGTACATCACTACTGGTACACCTGTGTCTGTCAGAAGCGGAAACCTGGTTCCTCTCCCTCTTCCGCCTCAGCAGGTAAGAAGGCTTCTGTCCTTTCATTATTTTCCTCTTCCATCTTGGTTCCTACCTCTCCTTCCGTCTTGGCATCGGAGTTGGCTGATCTGGCTATGGACATTTCCATAGCCCGTGATTCTGCTTCTGGTACTGTCCTTGATGAAGTGCTCGCTGCCATTTCAGTCATTCACCAACCCTTCCTCAATGGCACCTCCTCCCTCTCCAAACCCTGTCAATTTGCCTCTACCCCTTCCTACCGGCCTCTCTGCTCCACCATCTCTGCTGGATTTACAATTGCCTACCCAACCCACCCTGACTTCACATTACCTGCTTCTGATCCTCTCTAGTGTTCTTCACCTTCATTTTTCTCCTTTTTCTTCCCCCTCTCTTCTTTCTTATTTTTATTCTTTAATGGAATATTTGTGGTTTCTTTGCAAAGTTTCTTGAACTTCAACTGATGTTCTCAGTTTTCACAGCTTAGTGTTTGTCTCCAGAAGCCGATGTTTGGCACTCATCCCGGTCACTTTTGTGGTTATGCCGTTCTATCCTCCCCCTCCAGCTTTTGCTGGGACTCTTTAACTCTTCTGTTCTCTTGATCTGGAATGATGCTCCTCCTCCTTTTTCAGTTAAATGTTCATTCCTCTGCTGCTCGTATCTTTCTAAGTAAATGGTACACTGTTCCGTTTCCTCCCCTCTCCCTATCCCAATCCCCCCATCTTAAATCTCTCCTCCCACCCATCACAATCCCTCCCCCCCCCCCCCCACGCATGTTCCTCTTTCTCATTCTGAAAACCGCCTCTTGGATTCATTACCGGAGCCTGTGCTCCTTTTGGATGATTTTGACTGTCTACATGCCCTCTGGGGATGATACTCTAACATGTACCCATCAGAGTATCACCCATCGTACGGGGATATACCCATAAGTGTGACACAATCAGGAGGAGCATTGACAAACTAAAAGATTCAAAGTCCCAGGTGTGGATGAATTGAATCCGATATTGTAGAGGACCTGGCAAATGCACTATGCCTATCACTGAAACTCCTTTTCAGAAAATCCTCTGGACCAAGGGGTAGTGCCCCTAGGATTGGAAATATACAAATGTTACCCCTATTTTCAAAAAAAGCAGAAAGAGCTCAGCATAAATCTACCAACCAATCAGCTTGATATCACACTTCTGGTATATTAAAAATAACTCTGCTCACCTTTTTGGAATCGGTAACTGGCTATTCAGACGAAGAACTTCTGGTAGATGTAGTTTACATGGAATTTGCTAAAGCTTTTGACAGGATACCACATGGAAGACTAGCAAGGAAACTACAGGCACATGGAATAAATGGTAGAATACTAGAATTGATAAAACAATGGTTAAAACAAACAAATAAAACAAAGGATCATGTTAAATGGGAATGAATCTGACTGGAGAATTGTGGTAAGTGGGGTGCCACAGGGGTCCATCTTGGGGCCAACCCTTTTTGTCATATACATCAATGACATAGATGAGAATATTACAAACCACATCATCAAATTTACAGATGACACTAAGATTTATGGTAAAGTCGGAAGTGAAAATGATATTGAAGCCTTACAAAAAGATCTACATGAACTGCACAAATGGTCAGATGACCGTACTGGCAAATGCCTTCTAATATCGATAAATGCAAGACCTTGCACGTGGGGCATAAAACTCCACGTCACAACTATGAAATTAACAGCATTACCTTGTAGCAGATTGATGATGAAAAGGACCTTGAAGTAAGAATCCATAAGGTGTGGATTCTTCACACCTTTCTAAAAGTTGCACAAGTAGTGGGAGTGGCAGTTAAAAAAAAAAAAAAAAAGAGCTAACCAAACCCTAAGAATAATCTAGCATACCTTTGACTTTAAGGAAAAGAAGATAGTCATTCAATTGTATAAGTCTCTGGAGTGCCCCCACCTGGATTATTACATACAGGCATGGAGACCTCATTTTCAGCAAGACATAGCTTCATTGGAGAAGGTTTAACACCAAGGCAACAAAATAATTCCAGAACCAAATCAACTCTCATACCAGGACAGCTTGTGGGCCACATGGCTAACTACACTGCAAACCAGACATGATAAGGCTGATCTCATCAAAATGTTCAAAATACTGAACAGTTTGGTGGATGTTGAGCCAGACAACTTCTTCAAAAGGTCAGATGTAATGCCAACAAGTAGTAACGGTTTTAAATTCAACAAGCCACAAGGTTGGACTGAAAACGGGAGATGCTTTATTACCCATACAGTTATAAACCCTTGAAACTGCCTACCCGCCGAAGCCGTAAACTCTGCTGAACTTTAAAATCCAGCTTGAAAAAATCATCAAGATAAATGGGGGGACCTTTGACAAGCCACTAGCTTCCTGTCCTCATTGAGGCCACTGATGTGTTATCAGACCTCAGGAAAATTCAGGTAAATCTTCTGGAACTCTTCATCCTCTCTCCTTCCTCGTCTTTCCTGAATTCTGGCGAGCTGACTTTTGTTGACTCATGCCCTATCCTGTATTGATGTCTCTTTGCTTGTCCTCTGTTTATTTAGACCTGTTTTGGAGGGTCCTCCATAACCTCTATAATAAAGACCATTTCCTCATCCTCATAACCCCTATTCCACCCTCCTCTCTCGCTCTCTTGGTGGCAGTTTGATAAAGTGAACTGGAATTTCGTTCACCTTTTACACTTCTTTTTCCATCCTATCTGATCTGCCTCTCTCTCTCTCAAGCTTCATCCCTCCT